GCAACTCACACCAACACAACCTAGATTGATAACTAGCACTATGGGTAAGAGGCAAATATATATATATATATTTGATTTTGGGTGAACTGTCCCTTTAAACCAAGTTTTTTTCCGTTTTAACGTGACATCACAGAGAGGTTGCTGAAAATGTAGGTGAGTTCACCAAGCCCTCCCTGAATATCCTAGAGTTAAAAAAAAAGTAGTTTTCGCTAAGGCTCCAGTGACAGCCTCAGCCAGTGCAGTCCTCTGCAGCTTAGAACTTCTCCCTCGATTATGCAAAGCAGCGGCTGCCTGCTCAGGACACCTCGAAGCCACTCCGGGAGGTAAAGAGGCTTTTCTTTTTTTTTTTTCTTTTTTTTTTCAAGCGAGAGAGAACACAGAGAGAAAATGATGAATGTCAGAGCTTTTTAAGCTGTCTTTTCTTCTTAAGCTCGCAGAAGCATCTTATGGCCTTAACTCTGTTTCTGCAAGACGTGGCAGCCGGTCGTGACTCTGCGGGTAGATACTGTATAGTCATGACTCGGCTAATTTGGGAAAGTGTAGATTTGGGATCAGCGTGGGTGACCATGCCTGACAGCTTTGTCTGAGTCACTTCGGAGTGTACAGTAGGTTGCATCTGATAGGTGTACATTACAAATTATATGGAAAGCTCATACTGTAAAACACTCTTTGCTTCCACTGTGAACTCAACACTTGAATGCTTTTGATCGGACTTAAAAGGAACAGGTCAACGTTTGGGGGAAATGGGATATTGTCAGAAATGATCTTTAAATAACATCCTTCAACATTACCACCTCCTCCTCTCCCTCTGTCTGTGTCTCCCCAGCATATGCACAAGGCTGTAGAGCTGAAGCAGCAGCTGCAGATAGAGCATGAGCAAGCCTTGGTGGCCCTTCACACCAAGCAGAAGGAGATCAATCAACTGCAAAAGGTACGGCCATATGGATAAAGGCACAAATACAAAATTGGACACTGAAAGCTTTTTTTTTTTTTATACTTTTCACATAACCCCTTCTTTGTCATTGATCTTGTGATGAGAGCAGTGATGAAGTGAAGCTCATCATTCAGTAAATGATGTGTCAGTAGTCAGTTTGTGCTGAATCACTGTCATTGAATCGCTGCTACTGTATCAGAAAATATAAAGACCTCAGAAAGCCGGCCAAAACATCAGCAGATTTTGATTGGAAATGCAGTTTCAGCTTACAACAGCTTTCATATTGTTTGATCGTTGGATGAAGAGCTCCCTGCTAAAAATGCTGCCTTTCTAGTTGTTGATAAATTTAAACACCTTGTGAACATCTTTCAGCGTGCAGATACTCTTTTTTTTCTCTCTGTGTTGTATTCTGCTGTCCTTTTAAGACTGGGATATATTCTTACCCTGTTCAGAAAGTGATCAAATACAACTTCGATGGGCTTTTGATTCTTGTGAGGCTGTTTCAGTGGGTAGGGTGCTAAATTATCTGCCTTACTTTTTTACCAAGCCTGACCCACATTTGTGGCTCAAATTGATGCTTGTATATGGAAATATAAAAGTTTCAAGGTTCTGGATGCAACGTTCAGAGCATAAATAGAGCAGCAGAACACTATTTGCTTTGTAAAGATTAAGTGGAGTGATGGCGTCCAGACAAGAGAATGAAGTCATGCTCCTTCTGTGTGTGTTGTAGTCCGAGCTTCTCTGTAGTTTTAAACCGGTATGGCGGTGCGTGTGCGTCGCTGGTGCTTTGCACTGTGCTCATACTGCCGATATCAGGACGGTATCATTGCAGAAGCATAGCGCCCACCCTCCGGTTCTCCCATGGTTCACACCATTAGCTCTGTCAACAGTGTTGTTTAGCGCAGTGGTTCCCAACTGGTGGGTCGCAGGTCCAAAACTTGGTTACAGGTCCATTCTGAATGGACCGCAAGTGACTCACAAACTTGTCAAACACCCTTTATTTTTGAGTAAAGTGAATTTCCGGCACAGAGCTTTTATTTTGAAGTGCAATTTTCTGCTGTAGAGTGAGTGATTAACAGACAGCTACTTGACAGAGGCAGCATACTAGCTCAATGACATGGCTAAAAACAAGTATGACATTGAATATATTACACTGTGTGGACCTTGAACTAATGACTAAGGAGAAATCTGGACCCCGTGGCCAGACCAGTTGGGAACCCCTTGTTTAGCGTTGTTAATTGACATAGCATTGTTAGCTGCCAGCTGCCGGCTCAGCCACCTCCATGTTGAGAACCATGTGCAAACAACTAATACACTCGGAATTTTACACAGAGTCTCTTTAAGAGTTAAACACACCCAATCACCGTTATACATTTTTAGCCTACATTTTTAATTGTTAAATGGACAAATATTTAATTTTAAAAGTTGAATTTCCTTTCGCAGCCTTATTTCCTGTTAATAGTTTATACATGATACAAAGATAAAGCAAAATGGCTATTCAAAATCTTCTTATTAAAATAACTGATTGGTAATATTCTCAGACTACCCACTGGATTAGACCACTCAGGCTTGATATGGTCCTAAAGGAGCTGAATAATTCCTCAGACTTTTTCTGTCAGTTGTTGGTTCAAAGAGAAACAAACACACAAAAATGTATCACTAATACATTTAAGCACTGGCTAAGTAATTTGTACAATTACACAAAAACATTTTCAGTGTTTGAAACTATGCTTTTACATCTGCTGCCAGCCTCTATGCAGACGCTAACTCTAAAATAAATCACTTACTGTTTATCAGAGCCGTGCCGTCAGGAGTAAGCATCTCTTCAAGTACTAGTGCTGTGATCAACCAGTGAGCCTCTGCCTGGGTATTGGGTTGACAGTATGTCAGCTGTGCGCTGTCTATTCGACCTCATGGACTGTGATCACAGTGTCAGCTGTCACTGTGTGTTTCTGTGTGTTCGCTACAAGCTCAGGTTCAAGCTGACCAAGAGCATGAGGAAGCGGTGCACCTGTTAGAGGTACAGTACCTTGAATAAACACAGATCTTTAGCCAGCTTTACCTCAGTGTTAGACAAGAGACAACCTCCAGGGCTGAAAAATGAAGCCAGTGCAGAGGTGCCTAAAACTGCAGTTCCTTGAATGGCCACTTGAGGCTGGCTCTAAAAGTGAGTCATTCCCCATAGACCTCAATGTTAAAATGCCCAACTTTACAGCAGAAATAAACACATTTACAGCCTGATTTTTTTTTTAAAAAAAAAGAAAAAAAGAAAACAATTTTTGGTCTCTTTAGCTAATTTCTTTACTCATGACAACTGTCTGGGAGATGTATTTTTATATGTCACCCATTCACATTATATTAAGGCTTAAAGTTATGCAAGGGGCTGCTTTGAGTGACAGGCTGTGTTCAGAGAGTGTACTCAGGCTCTCGGTCAAATCCACTCCTCACTCCTCAACAGCTTCACCCTCTGTCCAAATATGGTCATTTCTGGCTTTCTGGCTGTTACCTCTCTTAAACATATTTTAGATCTATTTTAAAATGATGAAATAAAACAAAAAATTATTTGGATGTTTCATGTTATATTGGACAGTTGTGAAATAAGGAAAGAACTATAATAAAAAATCCATAGAATTTTAGTGTAGTTAAACTGAAAAATGCCACAAATGTACTTTGTTTGTACCTATAACTTCATTTTATCTGTAACATGAAAAGCAACCTGATATTGTAAAGGCCCTGCACCACTGAAACAGGTGTTTTCAATTCCTTTGGCTAATTGCACCTCTGCTGGGAATTAACCACTCGTTAAGCCCTGCCCTCCTTAGCTGCTGTTGCTATGCCTGTCAAGCTTTCTGTTATTTTACAACATAATGAGGCCCAGATACACCAGTTGAAATTTGAAGGAGTTTTTGAAACAACATGTCCTTGATTTCAGATAGAGGTAGACAAAAGCAGGCTTCTCAGTTCTTATTGTCTTCGGCAAATGATAACTTTGGCCGGCAGCATGTCCCAGTAAAACAGAGCATCCTTACCAGTTCATGAACCAAGAAGAAGACAGGTAAATAAAGAAACGGCATTCTAAAAAGCTACTTAGACCCAAATATTTTAAGTATGGTTTGGAAAAATGTTAGATGAAAGTAAAATGTAGTTCCCCTGTAAAAGGGACTGTTTACCTCAAAATCAAATATACATATTCTTCCTCTTACCTGTCGTGCTATTTATCAGTCTAGATTGTTTTGGCGTGAGTTGCTGAGTGTTGTAGATATCAGCCATAGAGATGTCTGCCTTCTCTCCAATATAATGGACCTAGATAGCACTCAGCTTGTGGTGCTCAAAGTGCCAAAAAATACATTTAAAAAAGTCAACAGTAATGTCTCTTTCCAAAATGTATGACCTGGTCACTAAAGATAATCCACAGACCTTGTTGTGAGCATTTTCATGTAGGGACTATTTTCTCTCTGCTAAACTACACCGGCCAACCATATCACTGGGCAGAAGGAAGTGTGCATCTACTGCTAGCTCACCACTGAGCTAGCTAACATTACAGCTTAGCCAAGTAGGACGCCATTAATGTTTATATCTCACTGTGACAAGCCTCTCATCCATGAGTAGATGCATACTTCCTTCTGTGCGGTGATTCGGTTAATTTGTGTGGTTAATTGGTTGAAGGAAAGTAGGTTCTACCCATTCGCCAACCATATAACTGTGCAGAAAACAGAGGCTTATGCTTATGCTTGTGGCAGCGTGAGGTGTAAAAAATAATGGCATCCTCCTTGGCTGAATCCACTTTCCTTTGCTCTGGTAGACTGTGGAAAAATAGCACAGTGATACAGTTGGTGGGTTTGGTGGAAAGAAAATAGTTCCTGTATGACCTTGTTTTGAGCAGTTTCATTTTGGAACTACTTTCTTTTTACCAAACTACACCCACCAACTGTATAACTGTGCAGAAGGAAGAGTGCATCTACTGCCAGCTCACCTAGCATATCTAAGCTAGCTAAAGTTACAGGTTAGTCAAGGGGGACGCCATTAATCGAGTCGAGTCTCTTGTCCATGAGTAGATGCATGCTTCCTTCTGCTCAGTGATATGATTAGCAGATGTAGTTCAGGAGAAAGAAAATAGTTCCTACATGAAGCTGCTCACAATAAGGTCTGTGGATTTTTTTGAGTGAACGGTCATGATTTATAGAAATAGACGGTGTAAACTTTTTCAAATATATTTTTGGCGCTTTGAGCACCACAAGCTGAGTGCCATCTAGTTCCATTTTATTCGAGAGAAGGCAGACACCTCTATGGCTGATATCTCCCAACACTTGGCAACTCATACCAAAACAATTTCGACTGATAAATGGCACTACAGGTAAGAGGAAAACAAATTTTGATTTTGGGGTGAACTGTTGAGACCTTGGTTGAACCTGATCATGTTTAGAACCTGTTGGGGAAAGACTTAAACTTCCAACTCATGCCTACAAGAAACTTCACTGATTCTGAATGTCACTGAGATGCATACTGTAGGAACATCGTCAGGGTGCTGGCCAATGCCCTCTGCCCTCAAACAGGTGGTGTGGCATAAATTATAGCTTGGAATTTGAATTCCACAAACAGCACACCGGCCTCTTCCTGCCTAGAAGTAGTTGTGAACAAACACAGTAATACCGTGTAGGTTATTCAGTACTCCACACCAGTTTGTGACTCATACATCAGAGAATAAAAAACCAACAGTAGCTCAGCAGCTTCTGTGTTTGCAGTCATATTCCTCTTCATTCCTCTCCGTGTAGGTTTTCTGCACTGTTGTTGTGTGAAATATCACTTCAAACTTTTCTCTGCCCGTAGTCGCAGCCTCCCATTAATCCTCCAACCAGGCTGACCTTGAATACTAAATTTCCCCATGATCAAATCACTGACCTGCTGGGTTTCATCGCCGTCTTTAAGATGCTTGTCACTGGCTCATCTACCCGAAATTATTTTCTCATTTCACTCTAAATCCTTTTGTCACGACAATAGGGTACGGACTCCTTTGAGTGCGGTTCAAGCGAGGTCATGTTATTATCCATGTGAAGCACTTTAATACGGTTTTACTGAGCAAGCAGCCCGAGTTTGGCTTAGACAAACATCAAGAGTTTGGTCTCTGTAGGAGTTACTTCTCTTCTTGCAAAGCCATTGAATTAATTTGTCATCTCTCACAGGCCTGTTTCTCAACACTAATGGGCAACTTCAACAGGAAGACAAACATAGCCTCACTGTCTGTAGGGTTAAACAAACAAACAAACCTATTTATTCTGTTTTCTGTGAAACCACTGTCCTCAATCATTCTGTGCATTGACAGCTTTTTTCTGTCTAATATTTATTTGTGTTTCTTTTTTTCCAGTTAATTTTGCTTTAATTTCATGTTGCTTTTATATATTTATCTGCTCTGATAAATATTATTTTCCTGCATTTTTCTTTTCCTCCTTTGCATCGACTGGCATTTATTAATGTTTGGTCCTGTCTTCGGTTTGTCTTTTAATTTTTCTTCTTTCCTTATTTTTTTCTGTCTCCCTCCCTTTTGTCTGAACAGAACAATAAGGACAGAATGTTCCAGGTATTTATTTTCCTCCCTGATTAGTTTAATGTGTGAATTTGCAGCAAATCGCTAAAGCTTTCAAAGCCTGTAGTGGGTATTTTGTGCAAATTGAGAATCCATACTGTATGTGCACTGAATGAGATTGTGAACCACTATGCTCACTGTGCACCCCTCCATCCTTCTCGACTTCTTGTGATATCATATCTATGATATGACGTCTTTAATGTCTATACTGTAAGTGTTATAATCCTCTTAACTCTTTGCAGTTTTCGGGCTTCGTTATCAGAGTTTAACAGTGTTATGTATCAGCGGCTGCAGCAGTACAGATGACTCCACACTTCCATATGCTTTGATTAGACCGCAGTGGTTTTAATGTAACATGCTGCTATGTGCTGAGAAATGGCTCTTCAGGGATCCGTCTATAATTGGTTCTATGTTTGATCAGCGTTTATAGATGAAACATTGGCTACTCTTCAGAGACTTCATATCTGAACATTACATGTAAAGTACACTCCATGCTTTGTGTGGGTTATTTTTCAATTTTTCACTCTCCTTTTTTTTTCCTCTCTCCCTCCTCTCGGCCATTACCATGGCCTCTGCTCTCTTCGCTGGCTATCTAAGGTCAAGGTTCGTGACCTGGAGCAGAAATGCAGGTCACAGAGTGAACACTTCCACCAGCTGTCCAACGAGCTGCTGAATTTCCGTCTGCAACCAGATACTGTGGACATCCTTAAAATTAGTCCCAATTCCGCATCCCAGATCCCACTCTCATCAGAGAAGAAACTCTCACAAGTCATTGTTGGATTTGAGGACCAGACAGAGACAGGTGGGTCAGTGGTCTCAGCTCATAGTCGAACTTCGAACACACATTTTTTTACATCTTCTGCATTTCCTTATCATTATTATTTTTAATAATATTATTGTGGCAGTGTTTTTTATGGTGGTTTATTAAGTTTAATTCAGATTTCTTATTTTTACTTAATGCTTTATGAGTATGGTGCTGTCTTAAAGGGACAGTTCACCCCAAAATCAAAAATACATAGTTTTCCTCCTACCTGCAAAGCTGTTCATCAAACTAGATTTTTATGGTGTGAGTTGTAAAGTGTTGACGATATCAACCCCACAGATGTCTGCCTTCTCTCGAATATAATGCAACTAAATGGCACTCGGCTTGTGATGCTCAAAAGGCCAAAAAACTGCATTTGAAAAACTCAACAGCAATGTCTCTTTGCAGAAATCATGACCTGGTTACTTAAGATAATCCACAGACCTTGTTGTGAGCAGTGTCATGAAGAAACTATTTTCTCTCTACCAAACTACACCCGTTGCCGTTATAGTTTAATGGCACCAACCACCATCAGGGGAAACGCGGCAGGACAAGGACGAAAGTGCGACTGAGGTGGGCAGGAGGGGTGGTGGATGGGTCCAACAAACATCGACTTTCACCCGAGACAGTGGTGTTTGCATCCTGTGAGATTCTAAAGCCAAACCCTGTTCTTTTTTCCTAAACCCAACCACATGTGTTTGTTGTTGAATGAAAAGAGAAGTCAATTTGCATTGTTGTACTGACATAGTGCGTTTATTTTGAAAGAAACTGAACGTGAACCTCAAATTTCCTGTGAAAACAGAAGTGTATGTTGAAAGAAGACAATGCGTGTAACAGGCAGAACTTGACACGGTGTCCCAGAACGTCAATAACCAACGCACCCAGGGTACCTTTCACGTTGTATCTGGACATGGAACGTCCATGACCAAACATCGTTATGTGACAAGGTTGGAGTGAGAATTTGTTGTGTGCTTGTGACAGTGTGAGATGTTAACATTAATGACATTCTCCTTGCCTGAGCTGTAATGTTAGCTAGCTCAGTGGTGCTAGGTGAACGAGTAGTAGATGTACTCTTCCTCCAGCACGGTTTTATGGTTGATGGTGTCGTTTGGTAAAAAGAAAGTAGTTCCTACACGAAACTGCTCAAGACAAGGTCTGTGGATTATCTTGAGTAACCAGGTCATGATTTCTGGAAAGAGACATTGCTGCTTCAAATGTATTTTCTTGGTGATTTGAGCACCACAAGCCAAGTGCCATCTAGTTCCATTATATTTAAGAGAAGGCAGACGTCTCTACAGCTGATATCTCCAACACTTGGCAACTCACACTAAAACAATCTAAACTGATAAACAGCACTACAGGTAAGATGAAGAATATGTATATTTGATTTAGGGGTGAATTGTCCCTTTTTAAAGGGGAACTCCTCTGATTTTGTACAATTTACTCTGACTCGAACTGTCAGTGCTCTCTGACAGTGTTTATAGGAGTACAATGCTAAATCTATGGATAAAATGTTACTAAGACTATCAGGGTTAAATGGTCCAGTATTAGGGTGAGATACCCCCATTCAAAGATAAAAAAAATGAATGCACTCTGGTCACTCTAGATAAAAGCATCCACCATATTAGATGTGATCAAAAGGCTTATGATCAGAATGAAATGAGAGTCAGAGTGATCTAATCCCCAGACAGCTCACATAACAGCTGGATCAGCTCACTCCTGACCAGAGGTGGACACATTAATGATGATACTGCTTATTCGTGATCAATATCTAGCCTAATTGATCACAGGCCTGATGTATGACATGAACGTGGTTTAACACATTAGTATTCTAACGACACCTAGGACAACCTGCAGAGCCAGCAGATAGAGCCATATCAGAGATGTAGATTTATACGGTCTGGCACAGACCAGAGGTCTTTGAAGTGCTGGAAATCCTGTTTTATCTTTCTCTCCACTTGAAACAGAGGAGGGGGGGGGGACTCACTGATGCTTTAGTGCTAATGCATAATATTACTCACTCACAAACCACAAGAACCCACTGATACAGTGGACCCATGTTGTTGACTTACTTTAATTTCCTCAAGGAATTCAGCAGTTCACACTCTTAGACTGCAGTTTTCTGTTTTGTATTTCCTGCGTTTTTCAAGTGTGTTTTTCTCCTCGAGGACCTCGGTGGTATTTAAAGGCAAACGCGTTGCAGATGTGAGGTGTTGATGGAGGTGGAGTAGCCTTTGCCATGCAGAGTGTTTGCCGTACACTCGCCTCAACAGGAGATCAATAGCTGTTCAATGAGGAGCAAATGGGTGCAGAAGGAATGACAGTTGCTCTTTATTTGCTATGGAAATCAATGTCTCCCAGGCGATGAGAGCGCGGCAAACACGCCGCTACTGATCTCCCAGTTCTTGCCCTGCACACCACAGACTGGAGACAGAGAAAGACCAGAACTGCTGTCTGTCAAATCCAGCACTGTGACAACGGACCGCCCAAACAGCCCTCGACAGCGGACCCCCTCAGAGGTAACACAACACCATCGCATTAATGCATGTAGAACTTGTCGCCTTCAAGATAGTTTAAGTTTCTCCTGGTTAATTTGACATGATTTACTTTGCTTTTTTTCAGTTGTAGCATGTAAATGTGAATGACATTTATTTTTGGTTGTCAATCTAAAGATGGAGGATGAGACCAGCCCATCACCCAGGTCCAAGCCTCGCTACACAGGCCAGGTCCGCCTTTGCACTGCCCGATACAGGTGAATGAGATCAGCTTCAGGAGTCTGTTGACTTTATTACACATGCTCTTTTTAAGATCATTAAATAACTGCTTCCTCATTTACAAATGAATGTTTCTCTTTTCAGTTACAACCCTTACGATGGACCAAACGAGCACCCTGAAGCAGAGCTCCCCCTCGTGGCCGGAAAGTATCTGTACGTGTATGGAAACATGGATGACGACGGCTTCTATGAAGGTGAGAAGTAGAACAAGACTCTCGGATGACGTGGTGGGAAACAATCGTCAGCACTAACTGGCAAGTCAAGCTCAGGCAGGCACTTAAATGACAAATGTCTAAAGAAAAATCTGCAGTCTGGAGATCAAAGATTACAGTACAGCAGGAGGTGTCGTTTGTTGCTTTTCAAGTCTGTGATTTTTGCCTGAGTCCCTGTCTGCTGCTGTAGCAGAGAATGCTTGACAGTCACAACAAGCGTGTGCATCATCGCGTATTAATTATCTCACAGTGAGACAAAATGCCAAGACGTGTGTGTCAGCTCACAGTTATCCCCCAGTGACTTTGTTCTATTTACAGTATTCTAGTTGGCATCTTAATCCCCTCGACATCCTTTTAAAATGGCCGTGTCAAATACAATAATGTGCATATGTCAAATACAGCAATGTGCACATGTCAAATACAATACTGTGGATATATACATAGCTGTCCTTGATGCATTTTGTCACTCCACAGTATATATTGTTTACTTTATATTTAATGTGAGAAACCTATTACATCATAAAAAAGACTGGAATACATTTTTAACACAGCTACACCGTCATTCTGCATAAGCCATATCCCTGCTGGTTATTTTCACCTTGCAACCTGACCTCCTCTGTGTCAGTGCAGTGTATTTGTATTTGACTCATGTTGCCATAATTTTCAAGACTGTTCTCTTTGAGACATCAAATAATTTAGCTTTGTTTTTTCATGACTAATCCACATTCAGTTTGGGCACAGATGATTGTGCCCTATTTCTTGTCAAGTATTGCTTTGAAAGCACACTTATTAAGTTGCAAGATCAAACTTGTGCTGGCCGATGTACCGAATATAACAGTGTACTGTTGTTAGGTTCATGAATGATGTGAACTCTGTGTGTACTGTCATGCTGTGAGCCCCGAGAGGAGATGTATTCAATGGGCAATTCAATGTAAAACACCCAAACTAGATATTCCAAGAGGTGCCAAACTCCTACGGTATGTCGTGATGCAGTTGTTCGATCATACTGCCCAGCACCACAGTAACTACCCCTGGTGACCTGCTACGCTTTGACCTTAGGGTCCCTTCTTTTGATTAGTGTTACTTACTTATTTACTCATTTATGTATTTATTTTTGTTGTGTTTTTGTTTAAATGATAGTGTTTTTCTATTTACTTATTCACATTTAAATTATAAGAAAATTACCAAAAACAAAAAAAACTCATCCAGCTTACATTCAACCTTTTATGACCAGTCGCGCCCCCAGAAGTTTTTCATAGGGGTGGCCAGATGGGGCAACTGAAAATCTTGGTGTGGCACGCTAAAACCAAAAGCCATAAGTGAATTTCAGAAATTCTGTTATGCTGTTGAAGTACATAGGCAAGTTGAAAATTATGTCAATATGAGCGTTAAGGAATCACATACATCACATTGTGTTCTTGTTTTATAGTTATTATTTTTATTTATCTCTCCATAGACTAATAGCAGTAGAGTTAACATTTGAGTCCCACAATATCTTTTTTAAGGTGTTATGTATCCGTACATATTAGGCGATTCATCGTTCTTAACATAGGGTGGTTGTCCTTTTACTTAAAAAGACAAATATACAGCTTTAATTTGAAGGAGCACATAAATTGTCAGGAATATTTACTGGGAACAAGCCTTCTAAAATTTAGGGGAGACTCGCTGGTACCCACAGAACCCACTGTCCTTCAGATATCTTGAGGTAAGAGTTAAATGAACCCCTTTGAAAATGGCCATGCAAGTTGTTCCCTCGCCAAAATTTACCCTAAATTTGGAGCATTATTTAGCCCACTTCCTGACTAGCTATGCTGACATGGTTGGTACCAATTGATACCTTAGATTGTCTAGTTTCAAAATATACCTTTGCTTGAAAGCAGAAAAAAAACAGCCCAGCAGAGCATCTTAAAGACAGTAATATAGGCCTCTAATTATTTTTGCCAGGGAGGCCAGCAGTTGAATCAGGTTGGCCGCCCCTTGGGAGCACCACTAGTTATGACCCACCTTTGTTAAAGTGTTTATAATTGATTATTAGTCACTTTAAAGTTCGGCATTTTCCCCCTTCAGCTACTTGTATACAAGTATAGTGTGTGTCAGTGCACCAGTGTCACCAAGAAAAAAATCCTGTACACTTTTTCTAACGGGTGATTGGAGTGATTCTCCGTCTAATCTCTTTAGAATTATGAAGGCTTCTCCATCAGAGGCAATCCTAATCCCCCTGACTAGCAATCCTGCAGACAGCGCAGCCCACTACAGACACAGTAGTACTCAGCTGCAGTGATTCATTAGCTGTGGGCGGTGAGATTGCATAGCATCGTGGAGGAGCCTTGTATTTACCACGCAGGAGGGAGACTCGGGCTTCAGACCAAGCTGTTGTCAAGATGGGACCTTGGTCCCTTTTAGCTTGATGACTAATCCAGTGGCTTAATCATCAGCACACACAAACACACACACTCGCTCACACACAAACACGAAGACACACACACACAGATGGTCTAAAGGTCTCCCCAGCCTCTGTGGAAAAAGGGATTGAAGGACAAGATGATAGGGAGCTTTTCTGAAGACAAACTTCTTCCCTTTGGGAAAAAAACTTTCTTCCCTGCATTGACCGCAGCTTCTACTTGCTCAGGGGTGTTCCTGGAAATGCTCGAAAGTAGTGAACTAAAGTTCAAGTTCTTCGAAATGTTTTCTCTTTTCTGTGTTTACTGGCGAGACTATAAAAGATAGCATCAGAGGAGCCGTGGTAAATCTTACATCTTAGGGAATAGGACATACTGTATGTTTACATATCTACCACCTCTCACTCACTGACTCATTTCCACCCTGCATGGAAAGTAGCGCCAGCTGATGATTAAGTGTATTCAAGTTGCAGCTTTTCTTTTTCTCTTTGTCTTGTAAGGTGCTTAATTTTAACATTTACATGAGCCATCACAGAGTGACTGTTGCAGGTTCCTGTAGGGACAGTTCTTAAAGAATAGCATTCTCAGGTGGTTAGCCCTATTTATCTCCGACACCTGTCTCTCTGTGTCTTTCTGTGTCCCAGGGGAGCTGCTGGACGGCCAGCGAGGACTTGTTCCTTCCAACTTTGTGGAATTTGTCCAGGACAAGGAAAAACTAGCGATTCAGTCTGGGGAGGGCGGGGAAGACCTGGGCCCACTGGACCATATGCCTCTGGCCTTGACAGCTGTGGATGGAGGTGCCTCCCAGGATGGCCTCCTGGGCTCATGTAACGCCTTGGTTCCCTGTAGCAATGGGACAGGAGGGCCCCTGGACCCCGAGGACCTGGCTGAAGACGTCGTGCCTTATCCCCGAAAGATCAACTTGATCAAGCAGCTGGCACGGAGCGTCATCGTGGCCTGGGAGCCTCCACTAGTGCCTTTGGGCTGGGGGAACATCTCTGGCTACAATGTGTTAATAGACGGGGAGCTCCGTGCCAGCATACCGTACGGTGGCCGGACCAAGTGCTTGCTGGAGAAGCTGGACCTGGACGGCTGCGTGCACCGTGTGTCAGTGCAGAGCGTCACCGACCGGGGCTTGTCAGACGAGCTGCGTTGCACCTTGCTGGTGGGGGCCAACGTCGTGGTGGCGCCCTGCGGCCTCCGGGTGGACGACATCCAGCGCGACACTGCCGAGCTCTCCTGGTTGCCTAGCAACAGTAACTATGGCCACACTGTGTTCTTGGACGGGGCAGAGCACGCAGTGGTGAAGCCGGGAAGGTATAGACTGCGCTTCATCAACCTGAAGCCCCTGACGGTGTACAAAGTGACGGTGGTGGCACAGCCGCACCAGGTGCCATGGCAACTGCCGCTGGAGCAGAGGGAGAGGAAGGAAGCCGGTGTGGAGTTCTGCACGCAGGCTGCAGGTCAGCAAAGCTCATTTCTACACACAGAGCTACAGCAAAAATGCTCAGCTCCATAGTAGATGATTGTCAGTTTCTTTAAATACTCTACATGTTTGAAACAATCTCGGAGACAGATGGAGACGACAGACTGCTACTACTCTGTTTATTTCAGTTTACTGTAACGCACCTTAAATATGTAACATCTATATATCACCTTTAAGCTTATTGTACTGTACTGCGGAGAGGTACAGTGCAGCATTGCCTTACCATGCCATTGTTGTGTATTGTATTTTGTCTAGGTCCAACACCATATTGCAGAGCAGGTCAGAATGAAACATCAGTCCTGGGCTGGGTTTCCAAAATGTCTGAGCACTAAATGATTTTCTTCTGTTGCAAACCAATGGGCAGAGATGACATTAGTGCTGTGATACTTTTGGAAGAGGGTTGTGGTCATGACACTGAGAATAATTATGACATATTGTTCAATATGAACAATTAATGAAGGTGATCTGGGCAAAATGGCATTTATTTAAATATATGTATATTTTTATCTCCAAAAATATTGTCATTTATGCATCTATTGAAATTTTAAATACACTTTAAAAAAGCAAACTCAAATGCACTTTTGCCCACGTTCGCCTCCTGTACTGAGCATATCACTAATTAGAGAACAGCCACGCATCACGGTATGACCAGTTATTATTGTGATGAGTCATTTCCTCAGCCTATAGCCTAGCCTGTAGTAACCAGCGCTATATAAAGCAGTGCCTCGCCACTGCTCACTGAAATGACCATTTTGTATGAGTGCACATTTGCCTCTGCTTGAATGCAGTTGTGCATGTTTTATCCAGTGATCCAGGAGGAGTGGAAGACAAAGAATGGGCTGTAGTTAGTCTCTCTGGATTGTGTCCTGCATGCGGAGACAGCAGCGCTTCTCTCAGGAGGCCCTGAAGGCCACATTGTTTGATTCTACCTTTCCCTGCATTGTTTCTCCTCACATAAAGCGCAGTATGAGGTTATGATACAGTACTAAACCAGGAGAACACACACACTGAATCAATTTGATTTTCCAGAAATACTGCAACACTATGGAGTATCTCAGGTCGCAGCACACAATGACTTTTAAATGTCCCCCACCAGCAATGTCACATTTTCACAAGCATGAGCCGTGTATCTCCACAAAGTATAAATAAGGTGTTACGTAATTCTCTCACATATTTAGATATGCAGGACAAGTTATGAATGAACCCAGTTTGTTGTTTCCCGATTCTTCACCACCGTCCTCACCCCCTCTCCTGTATGTGGGCATTTCTGTGCATGGTTGTGTGTGTGTGTGTCAACTTGTGCATTTGATGAATGCTTCACACCCTTTCCTCTAGTTTATATATCTATATTAGTGTCATTAAAACAGTAAATGATCACATGCATTTTCATATTTCCCCCCTTACACTTGTTGTCTCACCTCCCAGGCCCTCCTCAGCCTCCCCAAGATGTACAGGTGCTCTGTGGGCAGGCTCCAGGGGTGCTTCAGGTCCGCTGGAAGCCCCCCCTCCTCTCTCCAACAGGCACATCTAATGGGGCAAATGTCGTTGGCTACGCAGTCTGCACGAAAGGACAGAGGGTGAGTTAGTATGTGTGACTGTCCTCTGTTAAAAGGTATGGTGAGTGATGGTGAGAAGCTCATACTCTGTACACTATCATAGTTTGTGGAGAATTCTTGAGCATTATAAGATCCACATTTCAAAGGTCACATGCAGTGCATTGAAGCTGTATGTAAAACATTGTTTTGTTTAATCATATTTAATCCATCTGAAACATAAGAACATACATCACAGATGGGATGGTAATAGCCCCTGTTGTTAAGTTTAGCGTTATGTCATCGGTGCCCTCACCACAAACAGCAGTGCCACCTACTTGTCATTCATGTTTGGTGCAAGACTCTTAATCTGGGACCTCTTGGAAAGGTCTCTCACTCCCTCTGGTGACTGCCACGGTAAATCAACACAGTATTTTGAAACATTGACAGCACAGTGTTTCCTGCCTTATTGTGTGGCTCACATACTGATAGCAACATTGATGAATTGTGAGGGGTTTTGCTCCAAACAAAGAGAAAACTAATCATTTGTTTTATGCCTACCGTACACTGGAAGACTTTCAAGACAATGTGAGTTTTTAGTCACACACTATAACATTTGCAAAGACCGGGAATCTTGCAGGTTCACTATATGAAAGACAACAACTAGATTCCATTTGAGATTATTTCCCATCCTGCTCCTGAAAATATCATGCCAAACCCCCTTTAAAAACTAAAATTTCTCTAAAATGACATAACCCTAGATACACAAGATAAAAGGTCTCATATTTGGACATAATTCTGCATCAATATTCCATAAACATAAACTTAGTTTGCTTACAAACTTTACATTTTGGATTTTGTCTCCTGCACTGTTTTAGAGGGAGGAGACCATGAGAATGAGCAGTAAATAGTTTCAAAACTTAAGATTCCTCACTAAAATAAGTGCTGGTTGGTGGATCAGATACACGCTATAATACAACTCCACCAGTTTCTCCTCCTTTTCCACAGTCCAAGAGATCTGAGACTTGTCAGTGTTCTTGTGCCTCCCTGGAGTCCCCTCCATGTTTACTTTCTACTAAGTTTGCTGCTCCCCATTTGGTGCTGGAGTGAGCGCACCTATTGCTTACTGACAGTGTTTGCTTCATTGAACTTCACTATTTGAGTGAGCCAAGACCAAAAAGTTGAGCTGTTATTAAACTTTCTTTGATGTCAGAATGTAAAAACAGGAAAAAGACAGTTCATTTTGAGGCGCCCAGTATAGCTCACTCATCTAGAGTGAGCGTCCCATGTACAAAGGCATTGTCCTTGCTGCAGCAACTGTGGGTTCATGTTGTTTCCTCTCCCTCTCCCTTTCACAATTAGGTCTGTCATATCACATGAAATTTAATCTGAAAAACAAAGACAGACAGCTCAGACTGAGTTTTATGAATGTCTTATACCAATGATCTAAATCATGAGAGTGCACACTAGCTCTAACAAAACTCTCAAATTTGGCTACAGCAGTGAAATCACTTGAAAGGTTGTTTGGTGTAAGGCTGGCATTGGGGTGACACAGAAGGAAAGTGTTGTTTCAGCACTTGTTGAAAATGATCATTCAGCTCCTGTTGACATCAGCATTTTATTCTCTCTTCTTCACTCCAGATAGCGGAGGTGTTGTACCCAATGGCAGACTACGTTACTGTTGAGCTGACAAGGATTCAGTGCCTGGAGGCCAGGGAAGTCATCGTCCGGACGCTGTCAGTACAGGGAGAATCCCAGGACTCCCAAGTCGCCGTCATTCCAAACAACCTCCTCGTGCCTCTACCTGCGCTTCCCCTGCCGCCGCCGATGCACCCCCACGCAGGCCCCCCTCCGCACCCCCACGCTCAACCCCACCTCCAATCCCCTCACCTTCCTCACGCCACACCCCAGCTCCCCGCTCCACCCCAGGCACTCGGACAACCGCTCCCACCCCATCCTCCTCACCCTCAACCCCACCCTAGACTCCCTCACCCGGGCGGACCCCCGCAACCCCAGCTTCGACCCCCACACCCTCAGCCCCAGCATCTACACCTTCAGCCTCACCCTCCCCACCAAGGCCCCAGGCCCCAGCACCAACTGCCTCTGCTCCCCCACCCCCAGCACCACCCTATACCTCAGAGACCAGTATGTGCCAGAGACCTGGATGCCAAAGAGCACGCAGCCCAACACGGGGGAGCCATTCCACCCGGCCAGTCTGGCTGGGACCCCACACGCTCTCCCTCCTCCCAGCCTCCTGTGCCCATGCAAGGCCACACTCTCGAGGCCCCTCCCCTTCCCAATCCACGCTCCCCATCCCCACAGAGGATTCTCCCGCAGCCCCGAGGCACGCTCATCCCGGACACCGTGGCCAAAGCCATCGCCCGAGAAGCAGCGCAGAGGGTGGCAGCAGAAAGCGGCAAGGTCTGATGGAAATGGAAATGCTAAATCAGTCGAAAAAGAAACCGTTAATTTATTTATGGATCGTGACCTATTGATTGTGTACAGAAGGATATTTATCTTATCTTACTTTTCATGCTTGTTTTCAGGGGGATCGGAGGCAGGGCAGATACGGAGAGCAGGATCGTTCATTTCACCAGCATCACTCTGATGAGGAGGAAGAAGATGAAGAAGGGTTTGCGCGCGGCCGTCGGAGAGGACCCTCAGTCGACGAGTTCCTCAGAGGCTCTGAGCTGGGGCGGCCGGTAAGAACAACATGATAAGTGACAAATCTTTTACCTCCTTTTGTCCCAATGTGTTCTTCAGTGAACGACCTCTTATGCGTGTGTATGTCCGGATGTGTGTGTGCATGCAAGTCTGGGTGGTTGCATGCATACACTCCTTTGCCCGTGTCTCTGTGTGTGTTCATATGCGTGCCCATCCATGTGCGTTTGGTGTGTGCATGTGTGTGTGTGTATGTATCTATGTATGTATGTGGACTTAAACAACTGCGTCTGTGTGTTTGTGTTTTGTGTTTGTGTGTGTGACTGCCAAAAGCCTCACTATAGTCACAATGAAGATTATCACAGCGAGAGCAGCCGGGGCTCTGACCTGTCTGACATCATGGAAGAGGATGAGGAGGAGCTGTACTCTGAGATGCAGCTGGAAGAGGGACGTCGACGCAACTCGCACAACACACCCAAGGTGCAGTTCTTTGCACTTATTCTAAACCCAAGAGTCATAACCACCCAAATTTATTACTCTGTAGTGAACTGCACAGGCACAGATACTTCAATTGAGACTGCTGCCTTAATGCATTTAATGTGTGGTTAGTGTGTGTGCTGAGTTTAGTTCAAATTATAGAAAAAAGAGAAAAAACATTGGGTTTTAGCACCATGGAGAGAAACAGATACCCCTTTTCCACCAACATGGAATGGGTTCCTCTCGAAGCAACTAATTTTAAACCATTCGAAGCATTTTCACCAAAAATAAATTCGTTCGAAGCTCGAAAAGGTGGCTGCCAGCTAAAACCAAAAAAAAGCAGGTTTTTCTTGGCCTGAAGTGCTAACCATGACAACATCGGTTTATTCGGGAGAGACACAAGAATGAAGTAAAGCTAATATTAAATACAGAGTATGAGTGTACAGATTAACAGATGATGATGAAGTCTTTGGCACTTGGACACCAGAGGGAGATATTTTGTGATCAAGGGACATCTGATATATCCCCCCCCATGGAGTCCAGACACTGGTGGTGGTGGTGGCTAATGACTCTGAGGCTGCTGAGGCAGATGAGGCTGATGAATCCGTAAAGACTATGTGGTGATAGCAGCAAGAAAGAACTATGACAAAGAAATAACCATATTTAAAATGAGGAGCAGTAAGATGATAGGCTGACAGAGAAGGTGTGTCGCTGTGCTATTGGTTGATTGTGAATCAGCTGATGACTCAATTGACAGACCCAGACAATGACGCCTAGAGATAGTGAATGAGCATATGTGTAAGGAGTGAGTGGTAGGGTGAGAAAGAAACTTATAGCCTGAGCATGAAAAGTATTGTCTTCCTGACTGAACTTTCGCGAGAGCTTCATTGGGCGCGTGTCATTCTACGGGGTCCAGTCATCTTATCATTAGTAGCTGGTTGTGATTGTTTTTTGGATTTAAGCAAATATCTGTAGTAATGGAAGGAAAGCTTGCAGGAAGTCAATGCTATCTGCCGTCTTGCTACTTCTGTTAACTTCCGAGTAGGTATAGCTGTGGCTAGAGCAGCTACTTGACCCACCCACCAGCTATGTGACTTGCCCACCATATCTACACATCAGTCCATGATCAGCCCCCTTTGCTCCTTGACCCAGAAGCGGAAGCCCTGAAGAAATTGCTAAGTTAGCATTTAACACATCTTGTTACTTAAAAGGTGAATATTGTCTTCATGTATAATGAAATTATAAAGTGGCTTATTGCTACATTTGGAGTCATATTTATTCACTACAACGCCGCTCTGTTTGAAAAGTATCCTGATAATGTCTGACACCTGAAGAAACCAAATGATCTTCCAGCTTCCCATGGCACTTGTCGTAAAGCTGGTACAGAAAATATTTCCTGCCAGTCTCGCACTTAATTTAATTTCTTGAACCCGTCGTTCTCCACCGTGCTCATGGGCATCATGTCTTCGGCTAGAAAGTCTTACACTGCGTCTGTTATATCTCTGCTCCTTTTCGATTGCCTCTCATATGGGGTTATGGCGACAAAAGAGGACGCTATTGATGGCTGTTTTGGTGCAGCCCCGCTAGCACTGCTCACAGCAGCAGAAGTGCTCGGCCATTGAACAGCACTTGTTGGTGGACTAACTGCAGTTTCGTCATGGATTTTCATGTTCTCAGTGTAGTCGCTGTTTGTTGTGTTTTCCGTCCTGGCTGGCTCCAATTGATGACATATTTTGCAGACTGTCTTTGTCCGTGTGTCAACATCTTTCAAGTAGCCAAACCACTCCCAAATTATTGACGCTGTGTAACCTTTTTTATCCACAATCTAATAACGCAAGCTCTTCTTTAGCTTCACCACTGCCTTGCTCCTCACTTCCACTCATTTTCCCCTCTTTTCGTTATGTCCACACTACTTTTAATTCCTCCTTACCTCAGCACAAACTTTGCAGTGAAAAATGGGCGTGTAACGACATGCATCCCCAACACTGCAGATTGACTGACAGCTGTCTGTTAACTTCTGCTGCATGACATGCTGTTTGGATCTATCTAGGTTTATCCATATCGCGTAAAAATGACTATAGATTATCATCATCATCGACAGACATTTTACTGCCACCCTGTTTCATGATTGTTTTATCGCCCAGCCCTAGCTGCTACTATTCATGTCTCTTCATGACACATCCTTGATTACAGTAGTTCTGCTCGAAACAGGTAGAAACAGGGGCTGGATAGCACCAAAGCTCCAAGCATCCTGAGAGGAACCGGTTTAAGAACCAGAGCTAATTTGGTGGAAAAGGGGTAAGAGAGAGAAAGAAAGACAGACTGAGTTTTAATGCTTTCAGGCAGCATATCAACATATCAGTGAGGAGAAACAGTACTGGAGCAACATCTTTAAAGTTTGATGTTTCAGTCTGGACCACTGTTTGTGATATTAGTCAGCAAAACTTGCTATTTTGCTGACCATTTCCTCTTTTTAAGCTGCAATCCTCTCTGTTTAGCTTTGTGTTGACTTACAGTGTACACATGGTCTCGGCTATTGGTAGGATTGGAGGTAATGTGGAGCTGCAGCGTTGCAGCTTGCAGCCACAGATGCAGAATATGGGAGGCTGCAGTCACAAGGCTGCAGTCTGACAGCACCTTTAATGTTTCAGCTCCATGGAGAGAAACACAGATAGACTGGGTGTGAATGTGTTCAGCACCTCGGAGAGAGAGACAGGGAGCATCTGGGTTTGAAATGTAAAGCGCTGTGAAGGGAAACTCGACAGTTCTCACCGATATTTTTGACACTCTTTTTTTTTTAACATACTTTAATTTTGTATTATGTTATGAGTAATGCTTAATTTTGGAATGTTAAATTTTCCAGTGGGCTTGTGTATGTCTGAGTGTGCGTCTATGCGTCTGTGTTTCAGTGTGCCTGCCCGTGAGTGCTGCATGATTTTGTTTACATACAACTTGTACAAGTATGTCGACGTGCGTTTTTTTCCACACACACGGTTTGCGGATACGTCCACGTGTCTGTGTGCAGCTCGTGAATGTTTAATGTTGCAAATGCTTTCTGTGCTTATATGAATTTCAGAGCAACACTCCAGCTGGAGGCCGTCATGACCGGGAGACTGGGAGAAGAATTCATCATGGCGGTCCCCAGCCTCAGAGACGACCTCTGATGGTCCCCTCTATTGGTCAGTATGGGCGGGTGGCTAGAGTGGACAGAGGGTCTTTTTATTTTATGATGCTGTAGAACAGAAGTGTTTGTTGCTCTGTTAAAACCATCATGAGCTTCTCTGTGTCTCCAGATCACCTCTGTGTCTGTGAACCATGCTCATGCCCTTCACTACCTGAACATAAGTTTGATCTTGCAGAGATTATTATGATGCAACAAGCTGACACTTCTCTTAAACTGCTATGCACAGTAGCACTACACGTTCATGCATTAATCTCCTCTGATAGAGACGCAGTTTTCCAAAGATGCTGTCCTGTGTGCATTTGTTACTAGGCCTCCAGCTTTAGGTGGCAACACAAATCTTAAGTTAACCTTTTGGGAGGGGAATGTTGAGCTTTGCATTGTAACCCAATCACCTTCTAACTGGTGTTTCCTGTAGAGGTAACCTCTGAGAATAACAGTGAGGGAAACCCCGTCACCGAGGATGTTTACTATGGCAGAGTAGCTCGGCACAAGACGTGGCCTTCCCGCAGGCACATGGGCGGCACCAGGTCTCCCCATGGTATGTGCCTGCAGTCCTGTTTTTCCCCCACCACAGCATGGCAACGGAAATGCCACCAGCAACTGGCAAACGAGCAACAAGTAGCTGTGGACACTTGCAAGTGCCTGTTTCTCTGTCTCAAATAATAATAGTTATTATTATGCTTCCAGTTGAACAGCATGACTGCACTGCACTGAAATTGGTGGACCCACTGGCAAGCCTTTACCTGGGGTCCAGGATGAACATTTCCACAGTTGCAGATGATAAATGGTTGATTGACTGCACAGAGAATGCCTCACTCACTGCACTGAACTCCAGATGCCTGCTAAACCCCCTTCCCTTTGTGGTACAACCACACCTACTACACCTTTAAAGAGAGCATTCATGCATGAGATTTTAAAGATATATCAGTGGTAGACATTGAAGAATGACTACACGTTCACTGCTTTGTTTCCTTTAGACGTTTAAGTTTCTTGAGTTTGAAATATCAGTTGTCTGAAATGCAGTTGTCCCTTACGTTTCTTTGCTAGCACCGCATCGATACAATTAGCAAACCTTCTGTAGGTTGGCATATGCTCACGCGGGAGCAATGCATTTCACATCATGCTTGTATTTTCAAGCACAAAAATAAAGCTTTGGCCTGACAGTATCACACTCTGCTAGCTGGTGCATTTTTCCAAATATTGCAAATGCCAAATTCAAATAAACAGCAGGCTTCCACAACAACTCTGCCATCTCTGCTTTAGACGTCTTGCTGCTACAAGGGTTGGCAATGTGTGGGAAGTTTTGGATTTTGCTTCAAATCTCACAATTTCACTCAGCATTTTTATTAAGCTAAAATACAGAGTTTAATCTTTATCTTTAGATGCATTTTTTCTTTTCTTAATTTAGGCTTCTTTTAGCATGCATGTCAGAGTCTTGTATGTTTCTGGTGTTGTGTCATGTCCATGAATCACATTCTGTCTGTGTACTCTTGCACCATGGTTTGTCTTGCTCCTCATTTGTCTCTCACTGCATAGTTAAATCCAAAAATAGACCAAAAAAATTGTAAACAATATACATGTGTGTGTGCGCGTGTGATTGTGCGTGCATGCATTTGTGTTACCGGAAATGGTTTAAATAGTTGACTGACCATAGATTTCTTCCTGCATGCTGACAGGCACAATTATGGCTTGACAGAAAATCAAATCTGTCATATAATACAGTAAATCAATAAGAAGTATTAAGACAAAAAAAATCCTCTCATTGATTTCCTTTGATTGAAGCATGGCTAAGACACATCAATATGTGAACATATGGACCTGCTCATCATCACAGCGGTACATGCTGTATACAGCAATAGGTTTTGTCACCAAAGTTTTGTTGCAGAGCTCAAATTTTACAGAAGACAGACAAAAAAAATATTTGCAAATATTAGATATGAAATGTGTTGGACCACATTTGTTGGTCTCTCGTTCAAGTAAGGCAGGATGATGGAATTTGTCTTCACTTTCTTTAAGATGGCTACAGGGACCGGGATCGCCGCTCTCCCACGTACTACGACGAGTCAGAGCCTGAAGAGTCTTTCCGAATCTTTGTGGCCCTCTTCGACTACGACCCTCTGTCCATGTCCCCCAACCCAGACGCAGCTGACGAGGAGCTGCCCTTCAAAGAGGGGCAGATCATTAGGGTGGGAGTTTACAGTTAAGATGGTCAGATACTGTACTGCATTCCTGATTAGTCTGTCTTCCTCTGTGCATTTATCTGTCTTACCTGCTCCATTTTGGCCATGGACAAACACTATAATCATAAAATTTTGGGTGTCATAATTGGTTACTGTCTTAATAAACCTAATACATCTCAACAGTCCGAATACACTTCTACCAAACTGACTTTACTCTTCACTATTATTTGTGTATCATGTGAGATTCAAGTCTGTAGACTGGCTGTCAGTAAGACTGCTTCTCTGCAACCAAATCTGCAGCATACACATTTGAGTCTTGAATCTTTCTTCATCCTTCAGGCTCTTTTTTACGTTGGCTGATGAAGGCAAATGCACTATAATGGCCCAATACATTTCCATTAGGAGAAATGTGCTACTTCAAAAACAATGCCAGTTCAAAAACGAATGGAAATCCCAAGCAAAGCAACAATAAAAACAAGCTGCAAATGAAAAAATGAGCTGCAAAAGACTAAAACAATACATAAACGCAAACATGCTGCAAATACAGAAATGATGCAAAGTCAAAAGAAAAATGCCACATATTCAGTCAACTCAAAGGAAGTTCTCCAGACCTCTAGGGGGAGTGCTAAGTATGCTAAGTAGTTACGTAAATCTGTTGCGCTTTCATATTATCTCAAAAAGTTTGACAGCACAAATAACTAATCTGAGACAACTAGGATTTCTACCCAGGTTCAGTGTTCACTTATAAATCTCACTGTTGAGAAGCAGAAAAATAACTTATGCAGCATTTTAGTCAGGAGGTTTAAATTCATGTCCTCTCACAGGGTTGGTGATTAAAACTAAACTTTTATCTCTGGCGGAGAAAACTCTGCCGATAGTCCACCACTAACATTTTCTTTTATTGTATTTATTTTATAATCCTGTTTGCCATTAATATATTCGTTTTGGCTTTCTGCAGCATGTTTTTTATTCACAGTATGTTCCCCTTGTTTTATTCGTTTTGAATTTTGTATCTGGTTTTGAATTAACATCATTTCTGAAGCTGCAGCAGCTTTGTCCTAATAGAAATGTTTTGGGTCGTTGTGGGGTGTTTGCCCTTGTTGGCCATGGTCATTTCTTTTTACAATAAAAACAAACAAAAACATTTGTACATTTGTAGCTGCTGCCAAATGTGGGTCTGTGGTGCACCATAGTAATTAGAAATGGTGTAATTTTCAGTTGAAAAAAATGTTCTGGACCCTGAAAACGAACCATGTTCATTTGAAAAGAAAACATTTCCCTATACTATATATGTTTTTGGAGCTTTAAAAATCACATTTTTACTGTCTTGTCTGACAGGTGTATGGTGATAAAGATACAGATGGGTTTTACAGAGGAGAGGTGAGGGGCAGGATGGGGCTGATCCCCTGCAACATGGTGTCAGAGATCCGAGCGGAGGACGAGGAGACCATGGACCAGCTCATTAAACAGGGCTTCCTGCCACTCAGCACCCCTGTGGACAGAATAGGTACTACACAGATCTGCACCTGTTATGGACCTGCTCCAGAGTCAGTGGGGTTGAAAAGTTAAATACCACTAATAATACTTCCTGTTAAAATGGCATCTGTTATCGCTTTCAGAGCAGAACAGAAGAGGCCTCCGTCGAGACCAGACCTCGAGGAGGATGGTGGCTCTGTACGACTACGACCCCCGAGAGAGCTCCCCTAATGTTGATGTCGAGGTATCACTGACTGCCAGGGGCCCCTTGCTGAACACACACATATTTACAGATCCATGGCAGTGCTATAACCACACATAACCAAATAAGGGCGTAACAGATTAAGACATAGTGGACTTGGATCACATTCCTTGCATATCGCTTTTCGTATCTCTGTCTCCTGATAGGCTGAGCTGACCTTCTGTGCTGGTGACATCATGGCTGTGTTTGGAGATATTGATGAAGACGGATTCTATTATGTGAGTGCTGCTTGGCCATGTTTGCCTCCCTAATCAACACTTTATATTTTAGCAGACATCATGCTGGTGTGTCCTGTTTACACCTGATATTAACATGCGTCTCAGATCACAAGTGGACAGCTCTAAGCACAGGTGTGAATGCACCAAATGCGTCCTTAATGCATCTTGAAATCTGATCGCTCAGACCACATTCGGAGAAGGCCTGGGTCACTTAAGGCCACTCTCTCTCACCACTTCAGCTGATGTCCCTGGTTATCCAATTCCCCTCCAGATAAGCAAACTTTCTGTTGCTGCCATTACACAGATTAGACACAGCACTGTAGAACTGTCTCAGGAGCCTCTCTTCTTCTAGTGAATAGTCAGTTTGTTGTCTGCTTGGTTAGCACAAGCTAACACAGCAGCAGCAGCTACTAAACCATCCCCGCAAACTCACACTGAAACAGCTCGACTCTGTCATTAAATCTGTTAATAATAGTTAGGTAACATTAGTCATGTGATGCTAGTAGTTAGGCTTGTCACTGTGTGTGTGCGGGCAGCGTTTCACCAACTCCCCCTAGCATGAAGATCACACTCCTACAGCATAGAGCTTAGATTCTCTGCCCGAACCCGAACCCGACCCCGCCCCTCAGGCTCAGACAGGTCGGGCTCCTCATAATAGACCTAGGCTATGGAACCAACTACTTATCACACCAGGGGGTGGGGCCGCGGTCCCCCTTGACAGTGCCACTGGCCACGCAGCATTGGTATATGACCGCAAAAAGACAGGGACCTCGACACTTAAGAGGCACATGACGAAGGCTTGTCGTGGAAAGAAAACAAGAGTCAGCCTTCAATGTCCACGTTCGTATCCTTTAAAAAATGTCAGTTAAAGGGCCGGGCCAGGCTCGGACAGAACATGCACGGGCTCGGGTGGGGTCGGGCTGGATTTTTTGGGCCTGATCTAAGCTCTACTACAGCAGGAGTTTCCTATGATGGTGAATGAAATGATGTAGGCTGTGTGTTTATTTGCATATAGAAAGGGGAAGTGAGATCCAATCAAGTGGTTACTTGAGACGCATGTTAATACCAAGTGTAAACAGGCTCAAGGCAGCTGTTTCCTCCTGTTTCCACCCTGTATATAGAGCTAAGATGACTGGCTGCTGGTGGCTGTATTTATTGTACCAACATGACAGGTGTAACAATCTTCTCATCTAACTCTCAGCAAGAAAGTGAATGTTTCCCCAAATGTGGAGCTACTCCTTTGACAAACAGCTCCTTCCTGGGTATTAAAAGCAATGTGTTAATTGTAGATTCCAAATTTTCACACATTGTTTGATCACAGGTCGGGCGGTTGGTGTCAAATAACAACCCTGTCTCCTAGAAATTAGATTTGTATGTTACTAAACTGTTTTTGTAATTACATTGTGGTGGGGATGTAATTGCTGCCTGGATTATGTTCAGAGATAATGTTTCTTTGAGTTAATGGAACACTAAATTTAGATACCGTGCGCTGGTTTTGCTGGGAGGTAGTTAGGGAGGATGGGGATCATACAAAGTGCCGGAGCAAAACAAAACAAAAGCACTTTAGTTGAGGTTACCATGTCAATGAAAAGGTAATAAAAAATAATGCTGTCATCACTACAAGTGGATAGGATATTGCACGATTACCTATTTGAGTGGAAACAAATGAAGTACTTTTTCATTTTTCATGTTGTTGATGCGTTCAGTATCAATATTTGAACAACTTGCCAGGTGCTGTAATTAGCAGCGTTTCCTCATTAGGTTAATAGAAAATGAAATTAGCTCAGCATTACGTTTCCCCCCCAAAAATGTATTTGCAGTTTCAAATTAGTTGTATACAAACCTAATTTCTTTGAGACAGCGCTGCAAACAAACTTTAATTTAACAAATCAGAAGGTTGGGAAGGATGATGAATCTGCAAATTAATAATTTTGAAACAGACACATGAATGAAATTATAACAAGTCGAGGGAGTGGCGGTGTGAATTAGTTTCTCGTGCTCTGATTCTGGAAGACGAAAAGACAGAATTAGATGGAAAGTGAGCAATGATGTTAGGCACACTTGAAATGTCTCTTATCTTCATTTCCGTCCGCAGGGTGAAATCAATGGCCACCGCGGTCTGGTTCCCTCTAACTTCCTGGAAGAAGTGCCTGATGACGTGGAGGTGTATCTGACCGATACTCCATCCCACTACCCCCAGGAAGAGCCTGCCAACCGGCCCCCTGCCAACTCTGCCGCAACCGTCTCAGAGGGCAAACGGGTACATCATCATCGCCGCTCTCAGCGCTAGGCCCTGTGTTCATCCATCCTCCGTCCTCTCTCTTGATTTCCGTCTCTTGCTTCCTCCACTTGCCGTCTGTGTGCTGTTCATTGTGTGTGTTTTGTCCATGTGGTGACAGTGGTGACTCTATACAAACTAACAACCCTCCCGCCCTTCCCCCCCGCTCGCCCTTTGGAAAAGGGGACAAAAAAAAAAAAAAAAAAAAAAAATCCAGTGTTAACACCTTTCTGAGTCTCAGAGAAAGGAAGAAGCAAAGCCTGACATGGACAGAGAGAGGATAGACTGTGGGAGCTCTGCGGGTGATTTATGCATGTAGCACTGGTTAAGGAGGACTTGAAAAAGGCTCGACTCATTCCTCACACGAGATAATTTGGTACCTCTTTGCACTGAAACACAAAATCAAATTGTGGTTATTGTGTATAATTATATTAATGATAATATTAAGTGCTTTATTAACACATAACAATGGCTACCCAATGACACTGAAATAAATTATTTGAGAGAAAACCTATGAAGAAGAGAGAAAAGCATGCCTTTTTCAAACTTGATACGTTTTATAATAACTTTCTTGGCTCGACTGCTGTGTTTCCTTAAAGAGGCTTTGTTTCTTTATGTATATTGCACACACATCAAATCTATTTTTCAGCCCTGTCGACAGTGGATATGCCATGTTTGCTCTGAGCTCGAGAGACAAAACCAATCGCAGCACTGATACGTCCATACTGTATTGTTACGATGGAACAATAAAAAGAAAAAAAATTGGATATTAAAAACATTATTATTTTGCGCTCTGTGTTCATGTGTGTTGGTGTTGTTGTTGACATTGTTGTTGTTTCTTTTTTTTTTTTAGTTTTCATAGTGGTGTGGGTTTTAGCGACGGTGACTATGCTGCCACATCTGATTTCTTTTTTGTTTTTCCTCACCCGCTTGGCAAAACAAAACAAACAAACAGAAGAAGATTGTTCATTTCACACCATAAATGGCTCTGTCTGCCTTGTACAGTAAGTCGGCAACTTGAGATACCAAACTCGCGGCTCTAATGCACACGGCTTGTGGTCACAGCAGAGGCTTTTAAATTCCACTTCACATTATGGAAGCACTTGTCGAGTGTTTCTATAATGCTCTGTTTTCACAGTGACTTAACAGATCAGCAAAATGTGTATCTTTTCTGGTTTGAAATGTTCAAAAGTTTACATGTTCATTTCGAAATATAAAAACGGGGTTTGATATTGGTCTCACAATACTGAATACCATCATTGTTGTCACCCAACAGTGATATATTTATGTCACATCACTGACAATTTGGACCAGAGACAGAGATATCTTTAAATCTGAAAGTGTACTCAGCTGCTGCATTAGATGAGAAGCCTGGTATCTACAGTTGTGTCCCTGGGTGTTGTACTGTATATGACTGTACTCTATGTTCCCTCATGGCCTACCGATGGTGGACTTCTGCAGCTCTGTGGTGTGCTGATGTCGTGCTCAACATTTGATGGCTTCCTCCTCAGTGTTTCTTCTACATATGTACATGTGTGTGCGTGTGAGAGTGTGAGAGAGAATTTAACTAATAATTTATGATAGATAGATAGATAGATAGATAGATAGATAGATAGATAGATAGATAGATACTAAGCTAATGTGCAATGCCTGTCCCTAGATGGGCCTTAAGATACAAAAGACTCAGCAACAAGAACAATACAAGACACAAACTGTTATACATAATTAACACCATAGAATAAGAAGCAAATTATTCATGACTGCATAATCGATTCCTCTTCAAAAACGGTTTAAGTTTGAGTTTGAAGTGAAGTTTGAGTTCTGTAGGTAAAGAATTCCACACGTTAATACCACAGACAGAAAAAGGTGTTTGTCCAAAAGAGGATTTGCACAGGGGAACCTTACAGTTCCCATTGGCTGTTCCACGTGCTACTGTGCCAGACGCTCTTAAGTGGAGCCACAAGGTCACTGAGCAGCTGGGATAGATAGATAGATAGTGCATATTAAGATGTTGTACATGGTTAGTTAGAGAAGCGAGAAGTATGAGAATGCAAATTGCAACCCAATCGCCAGAGTAAATGTGCATTTTTACATTTTAGTAATGCCACGGTTACTGTGTGGTAATATTTAGGCACAAAATACACCTGGTAATGATTAGGAAAAGATCAGATTTTGGCCATAAAATTAGGTGGTTTTGATGATCAAGTCAGCTCATATACATGTATTTAGAACTATGTCACTTCAGAAACATTGATATGGTAGCCTACCTCGGACATGTACAAATGTAACATACCTGTGGTTTGCAGAAATCTAGAATGCCAACATTTTGTTCTGGACACTGGGCTGCACATTGTTGCCATAGATGCATAATTCTCTATACGCAGGACAGACGTGATACATACGACATTTGGAGAAGTTTAAAGGGAAGTAATTAAGTTATTTCTCTAAACATCACCCAACCTTTTAAAAAAATTTTTAAGGCGTCTTCCTAACAAACTAACAAACAGGATGATGAGCTCCCTGCTGAAGGTAGTTTCAAATGATTAATTTGAAATGACACAAAATACTCATCACGTGTCATCTCGTGTTTCCCAACAAGTACAGTCAAGCCGCAAACAACTAAGACATCATTGAGTCGGTGGATAATTTGTTCATTAAGTGGTCAGTGAACGCACTTAAGCCCACTGAGAATTAGATAAGTGGAGTCACACTGAGAACTGAACTGAAACTCAGAGGGCTGTACATACAGTAGCATTTCACACAAAATGAGCACAACAGAGAGCAATAGAAATTAGAAACTTTCACCACACAGCCTTCTGCATTAAAGGAATACTTCACCTCCCAAATGATTGTTGTTTATCAGTTAATTAGCCTGTGATACACTTAATTTGTGAAGAAAACGCTGCTTTTTCCCACATGCCGCCAGCAAACAAAGAACCCAAAAACGGAGAAAATTTATAATGAATTGAAGTCATAGGGGTCCATGTTAAACAACAGCAAAAAAACAAACAAACCATCAGTTCACAAACTGTCAGACAAATTATGCAGTGTAATATAAGTCTTAATTATCCAGCCGTATGATCAGTACTTCCCAAACAGACAGCCCTCTCTGACAGGGAACAGAAGTTCGAGTGCAAGTACAACAGTAATTTTACCTCACTGAACATGGGAGCTGTGGTATACCGCTGCCTCAATGAGTTACTGTGTTTTATTTTGTGACTTTGGTGAATCCAAACTAACCATTTTAAACACCAAAGTCATACAATAATACAAACAACCTAACTGAGGCAGCGGTAGACCAGCAGCTCCTGTGTTGAGTGAGGTAAAATTACTGCTTCTGCCAATGGAGTCTGGCTTTGAAGACAGCATAGAAATGTTTTAGTTTAGTTCTCCGTCGGAAAGATAGGAAGCACTGAGCATGCGACTGGATAAATAAGACTTGGATTATACTGCAGAGTTGTGTGAGAGTTTGTAAAGAGATATTGCGATATAGTTTTGCTGTTAAACGCGGAGCCCTATGACATCAGTTCAGGTAACACTTAACTTGAAGGTACCTACATAAGGGTGACATGACACTGTCATAACTATGACATGACACTGTCATGAACTTGTCATAAACATTATGTACATGTCATGAACGTTTATGACTGCTGTCATTAAGTGTCATTCGTTTTTTGTAATGACAAGTTGACATTGTTTGGGTTGTCTTGATTATGACAACTTGACATTAACCAGGATGACATTACCAGAAGTTGTCTTTGTCATGACAATTTGACATTAACCAGGATGACATTACCAGAAGTTGTCTTTGTCATGACAAGTTGACATTAAATTTGTTTGGGATGTCCCTTTTATGATGAAGATGTCTTTGTATCAATCATTATGTCAGCTTGTCATAAAAACAAAAAGAGGTGCATTTCTTGTTAATGTCAAGCTGTTATGACAAAGACATCTTCTGGTAATGTCATCCTAGTTAATGTCAAGTTGTCATAATAAGGACATCCCAAACAAATTTAATGTCAAGTTGTCATGACAAAGACAACTTCTGGCAATGTCATCGTGGTTAATGTCAAGTTGTCATTATAGGGACATCCCAAACAAATTTAATGTCAAGTTGTCATGACAAAGACATCTTCTGGTAATGTCATCCTGGTTAATGTCAAGTTGTCATGACAAAGACAACTTCTGGTAATGTCATCGTGGTTAATGTCAAGTTGTCATGACAAAGACACCTTCTGGTAATGTCATCGTGGTTAATGTCAAGTTGTCATGACAAAGACAACTTCTGATAATGTCACTCTAATTAATGTCAAGTTGTCATAATCAAGACAACCCAAACAATGTCAGCTTGTCATTACAAAAACTGAATGACACTTAATGACAGCAGTCATAAACGTTTATGACATGTACATAATGTTTATGACATGTCATGTCATATTTATGACGGTGTTATGTCACCCTTATGTCGATACCTTCAAGTAAAGTGTTACCAAACTTTCTCTGGTTTTTGAATCTTCATTCATCGGGGGTTTGTAAGGAAAACCTTTCCTTCATGAATTCAGTGGAACATGGGGGTTGGGGGGTGAAGTATTCCTTCAAAAGTAGAGTTTGATCAAGAACACACAGACAGACATACATACAGACAGAGTCCTACAGTCTGCCGTGTGAAAGTGTTGCTTCGTTTGTAATACACTGCCCCATGCCTCCACACATCCCCATCGCTTCTCTCCTCAGGTTACCACAGAAACCACAGACACGGTCGACAACAACGCCGCACCCATTCGAACGCCGTCCCCGATCGTTCGGCCCCTCCTCCCGGGCACCATGAGACCCCTCAGCCCTACAAGGGGCCCCCACCTCCCAGTGGAGCCTCGGGACCCCCGGGACCAAGATCTGGCCAACAAGAAGAAGAAGGGACTACTTTCCAAGGGGAAGAAGCTGCTGAAGAGACTCTCCCCCGTGAAGTAAAAGAAAAAGCATACATGTACAATACGTGCACATGCCGGGCTCTGTATATTGCATCCATACAATCAACTCTGATCCAACAACATATGACAGAGAGGATGTGAGCTTTGCCTCCTGGACTGCGTGAGCCTATTTTACTATAACCAGTCATACAGTTATTCATGTGCGGTGATGGATACAAATCAGCTAAATTATGTACAGTGCAGTGCCAAAACCGAGTGACAGAGAGAGGTCACCTGCAGACACAAAAACATATTACTGTGATGTATTTTAAATCAACAGATGACTAAAAAAAACAAACAAAAAATAACTAGGATTTTCATGACATGTGTTTTCTCTTCTTTTTCATTAACGAAGAAACGATTCATTTGTTTCAAGCAGGGTAGCTGTGGAAACAAAGCATCTGGTTACACCTAAGTTTCTAACTAGCTTTTTTCTCAGCCAAAAAATAAATAAAAAATTGTGGAGTATTGATGTCACCACAAGGAAACAGAGACCATACTCCTCTAAGAAGATCTCAAATAGACTACACTGTTATCGAGGCATTCTGTGAAGTAATGCTGGCTGCTAACACAAAGGCTTTATTCAGTGCAATATCATAGAGAGGCAGTAGCATACGCGGGAAGAAAAGAAACGTTTCCACTTGTACCTGTGATTTCAGCAGAGTGGAGTTTTTCTGTGATGAAAGGATTTTAAAAAACAACAGCAGATTGGCAACAGGGCATTAATGTCAGAGACACCGAGCGAGCTTAGCTGTCTCAGTGGCCTTTATGAAAACAATACAAGCGTGACATTCCTCGTTTGATTACAAGTTTGATTTACACCAGTTTGTTTTTTTTCTGTTCTATGACGGGTCGCTTGTGCTTTGTCATTTTCTGAAAATGAAATAAGAGCCGAAATGTTTGTTGTCCTTGCTGTCAAACTGTCATGAAACGCCTAGTTCAAGACAAAGTTTTGTGTCTGTCTTCCTATTGCACAAAGGTGGGTGTTTTGATTGGTGAAAGACATGTTTTGTGTGCCTGTGTGTGTATGGGCAGTATGTGACGCATTCATGATTGCACCTTTTATGTTTCTTGTTCACTTATGCTTTGTTTTGTTTTTCTGAAGGAGAGGCCATGTTGTTTTTGGTCGTGTGATTTAGTGACGTGCTGCTACCTCCATCGCCTGTGCACTGTTCAGTTCTGTCGTCTCACGCTGATATAGAGGGCCACGTCGAAGCCTCGTAGAAATTATAAATCAGAATATTCAAGGTGTGCATTGTTCACTGGTTCTGTTTCATCTACCTGAGGTCTGTGGAGAGAAATGCTCATTTACTCAACGTTTCGTATCTGGTCACATTTATGCTCTACATAACTCGTACTTGCGGTACACAAGGACTATACCATACCAAGTCAACATGTTACACAGCTTCTACACATCTCAAAGGGGATCTGATACAGATTTTAACTTTATCCCTGTGATCTTGGATAATATAACAATTTATGAAATAAGCACATGAACTCAAAGAGTCTGGAAACAATTATCGGTAATTCCAATATTCTGTTGTTGCTCCATTTAGTTTGTTGACTCACTGATTGTTTTGTATATTTAATCAAGTCTTCTAAAACAAACAAACCTATTTGCATAATGCCACTAAAAGATTTGCACCAGAAAATGTAATCAGATCAGTGGAAACTACTTAATATCCTGCAGGCTGCCACACTGACTGTGTGTGAATTCATTTTCTCAGTCATTGTCAGAGTAAAAAAACTCTTGTGCACAAGACGGATCAGTGAGTGATTCTGTGAGAAAATACAAATGAGTCTGAATTAAAGGTCCAGTGTGTAGGATTTAAGGGGATATATTTGCAGAAATTGAATATGACATTTCTTTAGTGTATAATCACCGGAAAATAAGAATCACTGTGTTTTCATTACCTTAGAATGAGCCATTTCTATCTACATAGGGAGTGGGTCCTCATCTCGGGAGATAGCCATGTTGCACCACCATGTTTATACAGTAGCTCAGAACGGACAAACCAAACACTGGCACTAGATAGGGCCTTTCGTGTTTTCCCATTTTGCATCGGCAATTGAAGTTAGCAGCCCCTCCACAGTGAGAGCACTGGAAAAACTCCTGATTGTTTTAAAGTGAAACTGCTTTATTCAGAGTTTTTAGTGGTTTAAATCACCAGGTCTCAGCGGATAATTCGGCTCATGGTTAAAATCTCCTGAAAGTCTGGATCTTAAATTATCATAGAAAAAGATCATAGAAAAAATTATTTGTAACGTGAAACTGCTTTATTCATTGTCCTTACCTGTGTAAATCACCAGGGGTCTCATTTAATAAAACAATACGTAGGATCCATACTAAAAATGTATGTAAAAAAACAAAATCAAAAAATGGTGGGCGGCAAAAATATTTGACAACTTCTACAATCAGGCTTCCACCTCACCATCTACATCACCAATTTCCCATCTCCAAAATGTTCACAGGCATGGGTCAAAGTTTCTCCCGTTAAGTCTGTATTGACAGATAACAACTTTTCGCATAGGAGGTAGTGTACACCTCTTTCAGGCCTCATTTTGTTCAACACAATGTTTATGAATGAGACCCCAGGTCTGTTTGTTTCGGTGAGGAAGAGACCTCTGCGGATAATTTGGCTCACTATGAAAACCTCTTAAATATTTGTATCTTTAGAGCTTAAGATGCTGAGTGAGCTGCCTATCTGCGACATGCCAAACAGCATAGGGGAAACACTGATTTGTAATGTGAAACTGCTTTATTCATTGTCCTTACATGTGTAAATTACCAGGACTGTTTGTTTTAGAGAGGAAGAGACATCTGTGGATAATTCGGCTCACAATGAAAACCTCTTAAAGATTTGATTGTTAAGTTATCATAGAAAAAGGTAAGCACACATTAGCAGGTGCTGTGTTAGCTGCGTGTCTGCTACATGCCAAACAGCATAAGAGAAACACTGATTTGTAACATGAAACTGTTTTATTCAGTCTTGTTACTGGTTTTAATCACCTGTTTCGATTATTTTGGAGAGGAAGAGACCTCTGTGGATAATTCAGCTCTCAGTAAAAACCTCCTGAACAATGAACACTGAAGGAATCCTAACCGGGAGAAGTTTCAGCTGGTTGTAATTTGCAATCGTCACCACTAGATGCCACTAAATCCCCCTAAATCTTACACACTGCTCCTTTCAGTCATAAACTTTATCTTACATTCAGCATACATTTTCAGCTTCCACTTATTCTTCTGTGGCCAGACAATTTCAAATGCAGTCTTTGAAAAGTTTACAATGGAAATCAAATTCTAAATGGAGGCACTAAAATGTGAAAAGAAACCACTGACAAAGATTAACGTGCTTCAAAGACATTCAAACTGCACCGCTGACCTTCAGTGTCACTGATCACATTATCTGATGGCCCAAACACAACTCAACTCTGTCCAGCCTCAGTTTTTCCAAGAGATAGTCATTGTGTGTTTTACTTCTACAAGATTATAGATTAATACATTGGAGTTTCATATTTTGAAAGCTACTACTAACTGGGATTACTACGAGGAATAAACATTTTGTGTGCTGTGGAGGTCACTAAAAGTGCTCAAGAACTCACTTACTAACTGGAGGGACAGTATGTCTCAGAGCTTTAATAAATTAAAAACTTCTACTCTCTCTGTTTAGTTTTAAATATCCCTTCTATCCTATTTATCTGCGGTCGTTCCTCATGTCAAGCTGCACTTGGGGGTTCACTGTCCTCACTGTTTATTGATATCATTGATTAAATGCAGTGATAAAAGAGGGTTTGCCAAAATGGAATGTAAGAAAAGTTTGGCTGGCAATAGGTTTACATGATTTTTGTTCCAAAGCTGTTTCTGTATAGTTTCTCACACACAAAGTCACAAAGTTGAATTCACTGTCACAACATGGTGTCCCAATACCAAATCATTCACTTGTGAATGGGTGTATTGTCTCAAAAACACTGTAGCTCTTTTGTACTCTGATCCATTTGTAGATGATTTATAAATGTTTCTACTTGATTTTACGACAGCCTTTTTGTTAGTGCACTGAGATTCCCTCTCCCTGTTAACAGACTGCGAGCATTCTCCATAGTGTCCTTTGAGATCAGATGTATCAGTCCACCGTATGTGCTTGCTTTGTGAATCAAAGGTTAAAAAAAAAGACAAAAAAAGAAAAAGAGAAAAAATCATTGGACAGTATTTATGGTGATTACTTATGTGTGGGTGTGCATGTGAAAAAAATACAACTTTTATAACCAAATTAAATTTGATATTTTTTAGAAAATCGCTGTTTACATTCATTAAATGTGGGGGGGGTTGTATTTAACACAGATAGATCACACAAGATAGTGAGGGAAGTTAATATCCTGTCAATCCTTCATCTGACTTCAGCTGTCATTGATGTGCTGTTGAGCAGGCTGTTCTCATGCACTATTCAAACATATACCTATGGAAAATAATGCACCAGAATTTGTATATCATGAGGCAATCATTTGTTTGTAACCCGCATAATCAGAAAGGTTGCGATCCTCTGACCAATAAAAAAGTAGAATTAAGGGTGAAAGTTGCAAAGACAGGGCACCCAGGACACCAATGTTCATGTGAAACCAAGTGAGCTTTGAATTATTTTAAGGTGCATCGTCAGGATGTTTCTTTTCCAAAATGTAACCCATGAAACTTTACTTGCCTAAACTGAACCTATGTAACTTTACTTTCCTAAAACAAAACTACGTAACGTTATGTTAAGTATATAACGTGATGATGCCCAGTCGTGTTTCTTTTTCTAAATGTAATTTACAGAACTGTATTTGCCAAAACCTAACCTATATAACCTTATTTTTCTAAATCGAATCTACGTAACTTTACCTTCCTAAACCAAACCTACGTAACTTTACTTGCCAAAACCGAATCTACATATCGTTACTTTCCAAAATTGAACCTACGTAACTCACTTTCCTAACCCTAATCTACGTAACCTTATTTTCCCAGACTGA